CTTCTGTTGCAGAGAACTCAAAAGCTCACAACAGGTTAGAATGCTTTTAACACACTGGATTCCTGGTTGGGTTTACATTGTGAATCATGTTGGTGCCTAACAGTGCCAGCATTGCGTGCCTGGCAGCCCACCTGAAAGGATCTCGAGGCACTTTGGCACCTGTGGCACCTGGTTGAGAATCATTGTTCTAAAAGTTACTGGAGTCATGTTTTCAGGAAGGTAGGCAGCGCTAAGGGACAGTGGGTTAGTCCCAAGCTCTGAGTTTCATCAGTCCATAGTTCTCCCTTCGCTCTCAGGAGGGAAGTACTATGCTAGTTCTGTTCTTGATATAAATGATTCCCCACTGCCTCAGCTGTGTGGGCGACTGCATTTATGGGAGGGAAGGAGGAAAGGGCAATGGCTCCAACCACACCTTTCCTCCCCATCATGCTGTGGGGGAGAAGAGGTCGGGACCTGTGAGGGGCACTCTGTTGCTACCCCTGAGGTTGCTACTTGTAATACAGGCTGTAACTACCCTACTAACATCTGTGCAGCAATGTTTGGACTTCAAATTAGCATGTTTTATTTTTAAGGAGTTGAAATATTAAATTTTGGTTTTAAAATGAACAACTCTTTTAGAAAGAATTTAAAATTCAATGAGAATTTTAGCTACAGGAAAAGGCCCAGAGGTCGCATTATATAGGAATTACGGGGTCAAGAAAATGTTACATTCCTGCAGGGTTGCTTTACATTCCTTGTGCCCATAAGCCTGTTGCTTAGTGGAGCTTAGAAACATACCTTTGATAACAAACAACTCATTCAGAATGAGCAAAAGGCTCTTTCTTGCCCCTCCCCTCACCCACCGTACCTCCAACATAAGGGTCTTGGACAAGGTATTTGGAGCTGGCAGGCTGAGATCACTGAGCAGGCATTAGTTGGTGCTTATGCAGATTTTAAATGTCCGTCTTCAGACACCCACGTCCTGTGCTTTTGCAGTCTTCTAATTTTCTGTAGAATCCTCACTCTGAGGCAGAACCGTGCTCCAGAAAACACACCTGGACTTAAGATGAAAGGTTTCTAATTTTCCAAACCAAAACTAAATGCAGCTCATGCAGTGGTATCTGTTGGAGCCTGCCTACTGCCTGAAACAATGGCTCTGAGAAGCGCGATCTGCTTATATTCAGTTTCAGTGGTATATTTGCTTTGGAGCTAATGATGCAAAACTATTTGTTGACATGTTAGCTGCCAACCATATTAATATTCAGCTCACAAGGTTGTTGTACAAACTAGAACAGCTTCCCACACTTCCCCAGATGTTGTAGGGGGAGGAAACTGACTACTAAAACTTCCATCTACCTCCTGACAACTTCTACAGCACACTGCTGGTGCTAAGTTCTGTAGGACATCCAGAACTGCAGTTTTAGTATTAAATTCAGCATCACACTGAACATTAGAAATAGAGATTCCAATAAACTATATGAAATTTAATAACAGATTAACCTACAGAGGGATAATTTAGACCTCTATTGATTTTTTTTTTTTTCTAGTTTAATTCAGTAGAATAGTTTAGGTTGAGGGGGGTTTTGTGCTTTGTTTTTAATGTACATAGCAGCAGCAGCAGGCTCTCTAGTCTCATGAGGAGTGACAAATCAGGGCTGTAGCTGCAGAAAAGACAGGGTCTTGTATTTTGCTCAGTTGTAAAGATGCTCTGAGAAGATTTGCCTCTTTATAGTTCTGGTCATTTGTTTGAAGTGGGAGAGTTGAGCATTTTCAAACAAACACAGAAGAGATTTGGTTTATACCTAGATTTTTAGCATAATACCAACTTCAGAATTGAATTTCAAAACGTTCCCATTCCTGTTCGTTTCTAATAGTTTGAGATATCTGAGCACATCATTGTATGGCTTTTGGTACAGAAATCATGATTTCATCTCTGTTCAGACAATACCTTTACACTGTAGTCTTTACTACAGCTCAAACAGCAACAACAACAAAAATCATCATTGTCAATTGTCATACCCATTTGCTGAGTAAAACCTACCTCTGCTTATTATTGTCCTAAAAAACTTGAGTAAAATGTACCATTTCAATGCTATTCACAGCCTTTCTGGTTCTAGGACCTGCATTTCAAGTATACTTTTCTGCCTTTGTTTTTGGTTTGTCCCTGCATAAACTTCCCTGGAATAAATTGTAAAATGCAAGGCCTGATTTTTAAATCTCATTTATGGTGCACCTGTAGCTCCATTAGTACAAATAAGTCATTTAAAATGTCTGCTTAACTTTTATTTTTGGCTCAGCGAGGCAATTAAACTCTAAATGACATCAACTGCTCCTCAGTGGGCACGTCTACATATTGCCCTACAGCGACATAGTTACTGCTCTGTGCTTTAATACTGCCCATACTGCACTGTATGCGCGACACACAGTTATTTTTTAGCAGCTACTTCACTGTAGCGGTGCACTATAACAGGGGAGCATACCACTGTAGTGGAGTAGCTGCTGGTTGCGTGTACGCACCTGTGGATACTATGTCATCATAGTGTGTAGCGTCATGTGCAGACATGCCCAGTTTTCTGGAAATCCCAAATATTTGCACCTACAAAGTACAGCTGCAAAAGCAGTTTCTAAAAATCGCAAACCAAGTATTTTTTTGTTGCTTTTTTTTTTGTTTTTGTTTTTTAGATTTTAGGTTTTTAAGATTTTTTTTTTTTTTTTATTGTTTGTTATTAATATCAGCAGTTTGTGATGACTTTCAGGCTGGTGAGATTATCAGTATTGTCCTTTAGATTTACAGGGGATGGTGGCATAGTAGCCTATAAAGATCAGTTGTTCCCTTTCTTTCATCTTTCTGTTTGTCACAGAGATTAGAAGCCAGTAGCATCAGAAAAAAAATTGTCATGAAAATACTAAATTATCCATGAGAACATAGGTTAGTGTGTTAATTCAGATGCATTAGGCTAAACTGCTGCACATCTGTCTTGTCTCTCTTGGGTCTATGTCACTTATTCTTCAGAATGCCTAATGGTTTATTCATTGTTTTAGGAGGTACATAAGTGAGCTAGTAGCTCATATCTTTAGGAACAGAGAGAAACTGGTTGCTATAACAGTGCAGATCTATTCTTAAGTAAGATTTTCAAATATTTCTGTCAACTAACGGGCCTTGAAAGAAAGACTTGGTCAGTTATGTCAATGAAAATCTTTACCCCTCTAAAACATAAGTAATATCCTGCTGTGGGTATATTTTAAGTCATGGTGAGTCATGAGATTATAAGGTCATTATGGGAAAACATTTAATTCAGTGTTAAATGATGGTGATAAGAGAAAATACATTTGCTGTTTGCTTTCTTTTGAATGATCTGTTTACTCTTGAATGTTCTGATAGCTGGCAAAGAAAATGGTCTTGATGACTTAGGCTCCTGATGTGCAATTTTCCAGTTGTGGTAGAAACTTTATACTTTCACTCCAAGATCCCTTCCTCTTGCGTGCCCCCCCCTCCCCCCAATGCTTTTATTTACATCTTAGACAAAGCCTTGGCTGGGGTGATTTGGTTGGGGATGGCCCTGCTTTGAGCAGGGGGGTGGATGAGATGACCTCCTGAAGTCCCTTCCAACCCTAATTTTCTATGATTCTGTGATCATGTTGAAATCTTTCCGCATTATTTTCAATCTTAAATTATTCTGCTGACAACGTAAATGCAGATTATAAACTGGTACAGTTTGTTTTCTAGGGAGTGGATAAGACTTCTTGTCTGCCCTGTGATGAATCCTGTTATTATGAGAGCCCTGTAACCATTTGGAACTGGGAGTGAGGGAGAAAACATGTTTTTGTGGACTCTAAGTGAATGGTTAAGTCTGCACAAACTGGAAGCAGCTTCTAAGATATTGCACAGTGAATTAACATTTTTGTATGTAAAGTCTTCAGGATAAACAGACTTAGTGTTGTAGTTGGATATTTCCTTGGTTCAGTGTAACAGTGTAACAGCAAGAGTTAAGTGGTTAATTTTTGAAAAACTACCAACTAGTTTCTCATTTTTTTTTGTTAAATAATGCCAACAAAACCTAACGTACAGAAATAAGGAACTTTAATATAAAGTGTTAATAACCGAGGACAGAATGGCATCTACAATATTAGGGCATTCAGCCACAAGGAGAGACATTTCCAGAGATTTATGTAATTCAAATCAGCGCAAAAGGATTTATGACATGATACATAATCTCTGAGAAAATTTCTTTAATGTAAAACATTCATTGTTCTGTTTTTACATTCATTCAGCAAACTGCGTTGTTTTTGTGAGTAGGATAAAAAAATCATATGCGACTTAGGGACAATTTCATGCAAAGTGCTGATTCTGACCACATTCTGTACTGCTTTGCAAGTGGGGTAGGTGCACAGAAGAAAAAAGGCCTGTATTCTGTGACCTTTTTTTCTTTTGGGTTGTTGTGTTTTTTTTAGATGCTTTTTCAGTCCCACAGCCTCCTAGGATAAATGGATGAACAACTTCCTATCATTGTCCAGATTGCTAGAATGCCTGTAAAAAATAAATAAATAAATAAATAAATAAAAAATAATAATAATAATAAATAAATAAAAAGCAGAAAAATCTGCCTGTCAGTTGCCTGCTTGAGTAGGCTTTACAAATTAGGAAAAATTATTTTGACTGAAATAAGGTGTTTTGCATAATTTGTGCTATCCCTTTTGACAGCTCTGTATTTGTATAAATTGTATATACAGACATACAGGTGGGTACATGCACATTTTATGCTTTCTTTCCCTCCATTGTAAGTTGTTTAACTTAATTCATTTTGTACAGAGGAAACTGTTATGAGATCATAACATTTTATGGTTTTTATGTAATATAGACAGAGCGGGGCAAGTGAGGCAACTGCCCTGGGTGCCAAAGCAAAGGGGTACCAACAGGTGTTACCCAGTCAGGACGGTGCAGGATGGAGCCACGAGTGGCTTGTTTGTTGCAGTGCGGGGACAGAGGGAAGGGTGGCTCCTGCTGCTGCATGCACTCCCAGGCAAGCATGGTGGGGGTGGCATTTGCCCCCCAGATCTGTGTGCATGGCAAGGGCAGGCTGCCACTGCAGGCTTTGTCCTGGGTACCAAATTTCATTGCTACAGCACTAAATATAGATTCATAGATTGTAAGTGTCTGCAAGGGACCTTGGAGATAACTGGGGTCAAGTGACCCCCCCAGTGAGGTAACTGTCCAGTCTCCTCTTGAAAACTGCCAGGATAGGTGACTGCACCACATTTGGAGGGAGTTTATTGCACAGTCTGGACACCCTGACTTTGAAGAAGTTTTTCCTGGTATTATCCCTAGAAAACAAACTGTACCAGTTTTATAATCTGCACCAACGTTGTCAGCAGAGTAATTTAAGATTGAAAATAATGCAGTAAGATTTCAAAAGGATCACAGAATCATAGAAAGTTAGGGTTGGAAGGGACTTCAGGAGGTCATCTCGTCCAACCCCCTGCTCAAAGCAGGACCATACCCAACTAGATCATCCCAGTCAAGGCCTTGGGTAATCTCTCTCTCTCTCTTTCTCTCTCTTCCCCCCCCCCCCACAATGATAATTTCAACATAAATGCACAGTGTACATAGTGTTCAGTGGGTGACCAGTATTGAAGCAAACAGCAGTTGCTTCTTGCTGGCTATAAATTATGGATCACTCACCTGACAGCACTTGCTTAAAAAAAAAAAAGCTTTCACTGTTTCAGTGCAGTTTTGGCTTTTTTCCAGGGTCCGCACTACTTTCAGCTGAGATGCCAAACCCCACTGCCATTTGGATTTGCGCAACACTGCTTTAATACCCAGAGCTCCTCCATAAATAGTTCTGCTTTTCCCACACCCAGCTAGAAAACAACCACAGGAAATCGGGGAATGTGCAGCCAGCACAGCTTAGCTGGCATTAATTGATCTGAGCCAGCAGAGCCTGCATGAGAGCATTCATGTACGTAGTCTGTGCTGCTCACTGTCTAGGGCTGCTCCCTCAGAAGCACTGACGGCTGCTTTTAGAAGACACCATATTGCAGCCACCTTAGCAACAGCATTTTTGTTGACATCCTGGAGAGTTGCAGTGCTCTAAAGAACCGCACACGCCCTCTCTCTCTTCTTTCCCTTCCCACCCTCCTCTCTCTCTCCTTTTCAACCTCCCTCCCTTTTCATCGTGATCAATAACTGGAGGTTTTTTCAGCTGCATGCAGTTGTCAGGGCAAGCAGTTTCAGGAATTTGCTGTGGCTTTCTAAACAAGGAAAAGTTCAAGGAAAGCAGATGGACGGATGTTTTTGCCACTGTGAGTGACCAATTAGCACGTAGGGGTCACTGAGCAGGGAAGTTAGATTCTTAGCTAGAAGCATCGGGGCAGTTTGTTTTGATCTTGCTGCTGCTTTGCCTTTAGGTATCTCTTCCCTCTGTCTGAACTCCTTTTTTTTTTTTTTCTTTTTTTTTCTTTTTTTTTTTTTGTCATCTTGTTTGGGGACTACAGCAGATTTCAAGCATGAAGATTCAGGAGCATCCAAGCATTCCCGAAACCAAACTGCAGAGGACACAAGATGCCGATGGTCAAGAAGACAGCTTTGTCTCAGAAGTGCCACAGCTTGACTTGACCGCACTGTGTGATGACAACCACTGGGAAGGTACTGTTGTTTGATAATGGTTGGTATGAAAGAGAGAGAAATGGAAACATGAGTGGAGTTTTGTATCTTTGTGCTTGTTGCCTGGCCAAAAACAACAGGAAGTTTCTTTTGACCTGAGTACAGGAATGAAAGTCTGGAGAAGCTAGAAATGGGATGTTGAATTGCTGCCAAGTCTGATGGTGTTTTAGGGGAAGGAAGGAGAATATGCTTCACCCTTTTGTGTCAGCTTTATTAGTCCTCGTGTGCTTCAGGATTATCCTACTTCTGGTATTTTGCAACCTAGACTAGTGAGTAGCTGAACCCCAGTCATTGAAATTGAGGAAAGGCTGGAAATTTCCTCCTTTCCCTGTCGTATCTCATGGTCCACTGTGTAGGCATGAAAGCCATATTCAAGGAAAACTGTTCAATTTCTTGTCTTTTCCTTCCTGGTCCTGAGGAACAGGCTTGCAGAATTTGTTTTAGCAAGATGCCACTCACCAGATCAGAAACATGTTAAATTGCTTGTAATAAAAAATATATATGCATTTTTAGTGGGGTTTTTCTGGAGGTCTTTTCCCCTGACTTCTCTAACCAGTTGCACGTATATTCAGATGCACACATTCATCTCTTTCAAGCTAACACTGCAACATTTAATTCAGGAGTTATTTTTCATTGTTGTGTATTTCTCACTACTGTCTGCTTTGCATAGTACGCACCTTATGTAGGGAGAGGAGTCGCTTATAATGATGAGCATTTCCCTTTCAGCCAGTGACCACTCATTTTAATTTATCCCAGAAGTATTGCAAGGCCCAATTGATACAAAATTAAGAATTTTTTTAAGCGCATGTTGCTGAAATGTGCTCTTTGCATATCTTGCAAACTGCTAAGTATCCCAACTACCACTGAAGTCAAGAGGAATTGAAAGTGTTTGACATCTACATGATCAGACTCCCTATGATTACTGAAAGCCCCTTCTTCCCACGTACTAATGTGTGTAATTTTGTCAGTGTTGCAACTTGGAGCCAGAGAGGGAGGTTGATGCAAAATAGGAGACGAAGGATTTTTTTTTAAGGGAAAGAAAGAGAGAACTGCTACTCTGAAAAAACCAAACTGAGCTGGCACAGGGAGACTGGCCAGGTTATCTGCTTGTGGCTCCATAGCATACGTGACAGATGTAGTCTCTCTTTTCCCTTAAGAGGAACTCTAGTTATGACTTATTTGTGCTTGGTCATACAAACCCAGGAGTATTAGGCACGCTGATTCAACATCAGGCACCAGCTACCATCAGCTGAATAGCCTTTCTTCTCCACCCCAATCTGGGGATTCCTTGATGATATTCATCACATACATTGGATTCAAGCGCTGCAAGACAGACTCCTGAGGGTCTTTTGTTTTATTATATTTTATTGGGATTCCAATCAACATCACCCTGAAGGGTCTTGAGCTGAGAGGTTTTGTTTTCAAAGGTGACATATGGGTTCAGCCATCACTTGGATTTCAAAATAAAGATACTCTTTTCTCCCCAGTGCACAATTATAGCTTCCAGTGATATTCACAGGAGTCATGCCTGCATATTGAGGAAAAAAATAAATCCAGAAACTTTCCTTTCAGAAACTTCCCCATTATTTACTTGTATATAGACTCTGGAGCATTTCCATGCTGTAAAAACAAAACAGGAGCACACCATCATCATTATTATTATTGTTTTAAAGCCTTCCTTTCAGATTCTTGCTTCCCTCCTCTTCCTTTTTAAAATACATTACATGATGGAAGAGGAAGAGGATGAAGATTTCAAAAGAGACAGTTGGCATGTGTCAGAGGAGCTTCAGATGTCTTAAAATGTCACTATGTTGTACATGCAGTATAAATCCAGCAAAATGAGGTTTTTGCATCTTGCTGGGTCAGAGGCTTTGAACCAGTCTCTGCCATGGATGTCAAATCAGTCTCAATGGCCAAAAAGGGGAAGATGCTAATCTAGGCTTGCAGATAATTTTCACACTAAGAACAAGATTTTTGTCAGTGAGATCATTCTTGGGAGTCAGGAATTTATGTTGTAGCTCATACTTCTGTGATCTAGGTGGCCTGAATCTCACGGTAGTGTTATCCCATCATGTCCTCACTGTTATTCTGGATTGGCACTGTATCTTTGTTCACTTCCACTGTGAATGGTTAAATCTGCTGCTTTCAAATTCAATAGCATGGTGGGTGAATAGGGTCCCATTATTTGGCTCTAGTAAATTCTGGTGTAACTGAAGTCAGAATCCAGACTTAACATGAATCAAATGGCCAGATGGCACTTCAGGTCTTGGTTTGGACCACAAGTGAAATTCTAGTGTTGAGTTTCTGGATTGTATCCGAGGGCACTAAGAACACTCGGTTTGCAGCCACTGAACATTGGGTACTCAGTGGCATAGCTCAGAAGTGGCTTGTGAAAACAAATTCAATGGCTGGGGATGTATTCCCATGCGGGTGTCACTTCCTCCAACTGAAATTCTTAGGGAGAGACTCTTGGCAGCAAACGTGAGAACAATAATACAAGACTACCCTGTTTGTGAAGGGTTTTTATTCTCTTACTATGATGCCTGCAGAGGAAACCTTACATTTTAGACCACTGTGGTTTATATATCAGTTTTTCACTTTCCTAGGATTGTTCCAGAACTGTCATGAGGTCTGTGAGTTGAACAACACGCGTTTTTATTTTTGTTTTGGTGAGTTAGGTACAGTAGAAATTACCCCACATCCATCCCCTCTGCCAACTGCGTTCAGCACTAGGATATAAATGTTTGGCTTTGCTATTTCAGTGCGTGCAGACAGTTCTGTGAAGCCAAGCATGTCGTGGAGCCTGTCCATTTACAGCCCCACCTGTTGGCAGCTAGCTTGAATTGATGTGGCGCTTGTCTGTACATGGAGATTTTCCTGACTAATTTTGTGTGGATTCTCTCAGTCTAGCCACAACCTATGTTGTGGGGACAGGGAACCACAACACAGGTTCCCTGTCAGCCCCATCCGTGGGCTGGAGTAGTGGGTCCAGCTGTTCAGGGTGTGTGGCCAGCAGATCATTTTTATCTGCACTTCTGTGCCCCACCAGCCTGGCCCACCACCAGATTGGCCTTCTATGCCACCCTTGCCAAGCTGGCCCATAAGCTATTTTTTTGGTACAAAGAAAGTCTACAAGTATCCTGCAGGGCTTATTGGTGGCTCCTTACACCGAGATTAATTTAACCTATGGTACCTGTAGTCACTGAAAACAGAGACGCATTTCAACAGATATAATATTATTTTATTAGTTGACCCTGATCATACAGGTTCTATTCTCAGTGTATGCATTGAGTTAACTGAACCATTCCTACATCAGGTGCCCAGGTGAAGCATGGGTAAAACCTATTTCAGGAACAGCAGCGTTGACCCTGCAGCTCACAGCTCTTCCATCTGAGAATAGAAAGTGTCCTAGCCTCCTAGGGTAACCTGTAAAAGCCCCGCAGTTAGTGCAGCTGATGGCAAATAGAGCATTTCCAGAACCCTTCCATAACTTAGTTTACTGAAGACTGTGTTTAAATCAAACTCGTGAATGAAAGGAAGAAAACATCTTTAGTGCTTTCATAATCTAACCCTGCTTGGCAAAATTTTTCTGAAAATTTTACTAGTCAAGGACCAAAGTCTAGCTTCCCCCCACCTTTTTCTCACAATAAAAATTATTAATATAAAGCTTTCTCATTTAAAACAAATGACTGACCTCCAACAAGCAGAGAACTGGAAGATTGCAAGGGTGGTCAGCAAATTGACTATCCCACATTTCTTTCTGCTTTTCCAGATGAATCCTACATTATACTATAAAGGACTATAGACTGTGCATTAACATATAGATAAGAGTTGTAATACAAATTATTACAAAGCCTATACCCAATTTCTATAACTTTAAAAAAATTAGAATGAAAATGGCTCTTTTCAAACAAACAAGCATTCACTGTCAGCATTAAAAACCTGAAAGCATTGCCACGAAAGGACCTCAAAATGCGAATATAAGCAATTGTAAATTTGTTTTAATCAATTTAATTGTCCCCACAAAAAATAAAGAGGGCATAAATAGCAATGGGGAAATTGATAACAACATTGAAATTTAAAGGTCTGGTCTCTGAAGTTAGATAAAGTAACTTGTTTGCTTAGTGTAATAAATCCTATTGTGTTTTCTCACCATTATGCACAGAAAAATTAAATATTATATTATTCAATTAAATAGTTTAATTGCAGAAAGTATTGCAACAAATAGCATTTAGTTTCACTGTCATTTTTTTAACATTCATTATTTTGTTAACAAATTATAAAAATGAGTAAACTAGTCTCTCTCTCCTGTAATTAAAGAGTGTTTATTCCTGAGCCATCATGCAGCAGTGCTTTATTAAGACTATATATCTTTTTAAACCATTGCAAGAGACTGTGGTTTGAGAATTTTTAAAGTAATTTTGCATTGCTCTGGCCCATTTCAGTCTTTCTACAACTCGCGTGGTGGCACCGTTTCATTTTCAAAACTGCTATAATTCCTATTATTTTCCATAGGGTTTCAAATAGAACTTGGAACCAGCACCTCAGGAGGTAGAAATGTTTGTAGTTCCTTTGACTTCAGTGGGGCCTCACCACTGTAGTCCAACTGAAGATCTGCTCTTTTGGGATTTAGGCAGTGTCTCCTTTAAGGAGTATCAATATTGTACTCCAGCTATCATTGATCCCTGTATAGGATGCTGACATCATTTAGGAACAGCATTTATATCTCCATGTATAGACATTTTAAGCTGAAGTGAGGTTTTTTGTCCTGTACTGCACCAAATCAATATTGAGGGGGTAAGCAAACTAAAAATATAACAACTTCAGTGTAAAAGAACAACAATTGGCTTTGAGCTAACCATAAGAAAATCTTCTGGTTAGAAGGTGCTGCCATGTGTCCTCAAGACCTCTTAATTAAAATGCTTCCATGGTCATTTCAAGATCACCAGTACCTTCTATACAGTAACCTACATACTACGGTACAGAGTTGTCTATACATGCACAGTCGCATGCACCTCAGATGGTTGAAAACTTAAATGGCAGATTGATTCCACTGTATTACCCTTTAAAAGCTCATAACCAAAGAGGACACTGACAGCTGCTGCTACTACTAGCATGTTTCATCTTTTCCACCCAAACATGAGAGGCAGGGGACTGAAATGGAGGTTTCAAACCGAAACACAGAAAGAACATCATGCACACCCTGAACTGCTTATACTCATGCATAATCCTGACTAAATAACTTTTCCCCATACTTGTACAGGTCTCTAATTGCAAAATCAAATAAAAAAGATACAGTACAGGCATGAAGGGGCCCAGAGATGTGTGAGGATGATTGAAGAGACTGCAGGGACTTCCTTAGGAAGGATAGACTGACAAGACTAGGGACTGTTCAGAGAAGTGCAAATAAGAAGAGATGTGATATTCTAGATAAAAAATCAGAGACTTAAAGAAGATAGATCAGGTACTCCTTTCACTTTTTCTTTTTAATATGAAACCAAAAAAAAAAATGTAATACAGCTAAAAAATTACCTGTGGGATTTATCAAGATCAAGAATTAGGCTCCAAAAGTCTTAGACATTTTATAGAAATAACAAGATCTTGCATGCTTACATTAGATATAATGCAAAATATATTATATGGATCCTCAGGGCAGAAATCATCATATACTGACTGACAGGGGTTAGGAAGAAACTTTTCTTTATGGCAAGGTTATTCTGCAACTGAGTGACACCTCTCTGAAGCATCTGGGACTAGCACTACAGAAAACAATGTCCTGAATTAGATGGATCATTGATCTGATTGTTGTGGTTAAGATGTAAAACTGCACCCTGCCGGGCAAGGGTGGCCTGGTGGGGCTCCTGGTGGTGTGGGAGCCCCCAGGAAATGCCAGGCCAGTTACCTCCCTGGTGAAAGGCAGGTCAGGGTGCCTTATAACCCCAGTGCCACATTCCTGGTAGTACTGTAATGAGCAGGGGGAGCCCAGGGCTCACTTAAGGAGCTCTGAGCCAGAGCTTAGGTCAGAGGAGGAACCTGGGGCTGCACCCAGGCAGCAGAAGAAAGCCTGGGGGCTCGAGTCAGACCCCATGTGAGAGGGATGACAAGGAGAGAGATCCTGAGCAAGAGGGGTGATGAACAAAGCAGCCCCATGAGTGTAGGTGAGTGAGGAGGCCCAGTGAGGGCATAGTAGCCCAGTGAGGGGTAGGAATGAAATAGGCGTACAGTTGTACGATTGCTCAGTCAACACTCAGGTGAGGATAGCAGGAGATACCCAACGGACTGCACCGGGGCTGATTTGAGGAGAAGAAAGCTAAACCTGAAGCTGGGTGGCATGTGTGGGGCCCCTGAGAGAGGCAGGATGAGAGCCAGCAGAGTAAGTGAGAGCGAAGTGAGTAGTTATCCCAGGAGCAGGGTGTCTGGCAAAGACCTGATGAGGAGGCCACCCTGTTACACTGATCCAAAACAGCAGTTAGTTGTTTGCTCCACTTACTGTTCAGGTTTTGTTAGCTGGTTTATCCTCCTGATCAGATTTTTCTTTTTTTTTTTTCTTTTTTTTTAATCTCAGTTTTATAACCAGCAAATGAACCGAACTGCCCAGGGTCGATGAAGTCTTCAAGGACTGAGAGTGAAAAATAAAATCAATTTTCTGTGGCTGCCATTTATTCCATCCAAGTCTCAGACTTGCTTTTTTTCATGTAGGGCTTTTCTTCCCCTCCTTCAGAACCTTCTCCTTTGGAACATGCATTCAATCTTATCATCAGTATTTGAAATGAAAAAAAACTGGATTTGCTTGAGCCTCAGTCCCTGCTAAAGGTGAAGCAGCTTAGTTCAGAGCTGTTTGGATTGGATCAGAGCTTTTCCAAATCGTTATGATACTTTTAATGTTGCATGATATCTCATATGTAAATCCACCAGAGGACAAAGCCATATGTATCATGCATTGTTAATAATGCCCTTATTCACAGTTGCATTAGCAGCTTAGTTGGTTTACTACCAAGACACGTTCTTTTTTTCTTTTTCCTTTCTGTCCGTAACCAACTGACTGTAAATCATCCAAAGAACTTAAAAGTAGAGTCTTTCAGGATAGAAAGTACTCATTCCCCAGGATGGGAGAAGGGGTCACTGGAGTAATTACTTAAGTAATTTTTATGCACAGTAATTTGGCCAGTAAGGGTGGGGAATCATGCCCCTTCTGCACTTACATTTGTTTCTCGTTTCACTATAAGAGTATCTCTGAAGACCTTGCTGAGAACATCAGAGCTGTGTGTTGCTTTCAGGGAAGCATTCTGATTCAGGAAATTGGTATTGTCTAGAAGATTCACATTTTGATTCAAGGGTTGCAAGTCCTATGTTTTATCTTCCTTTATTATTGGCGTCTTTCAGCAAAACCTTTCCAATATCAAAAAATGTCAAAGAAAAGGTAGAATTAACATGCATTTGCTAACGACATTTAATCAGGAAAATAAGTTTACATGTGCATGTAAGCTAGCTGTAGTGCCCTAGATGTACGTTTTGGATGTGTGATGGTTTTCAACCCACATCACAGCTGAAGCTTTGCATTTTGCAGCAGATTCCTCCAGAAGAGCTGTTATACAGCCTGACATCAAGGTAAAGCTTGTTCTTTCCCTGCACCATAGCACTGGGCTATTGTATCCCCAGCCGTATTCTTTTGGGTGTAGCATCAGTCACAAAGGCAGAGACACTAAGGTTACACCCCTGAGACGCTAAGATTAAATCCAGTTTGATGCACAGATTAGTATAAACGCACCAAAGAATCCATCAGTACAGCACTAGCTATTCTCATGCAATTGGTAATGCAAAGGAGAGTAGTGTTTCTTACCCACCTTGGTCTGGAGGAGGGTTTTGCAAAACAATGAGATAACAGAAGTTCCACTTTACATGGGTAATGGAAATGCCACTGTTTTAAATGGTTATGGAGTAAAAAGGCTTGAACCTACACTGGACAAGATCTCATTCAGGCCCACAGGAAATGGGTGACACTAAAGCTGTCATTTGGCCCTTTCTAGTGTTCTTCTTTCCCTCAAGATATTCTTGAGTGTGTTTCTGTCATTTGCTTGATTCTGGTTAGAATGCCCAGTTCAAAGCATGGCTTTTACACCTCCTAATCCCATGGCGCTAAGTAGGAGCATGCAAACTAGCTTAGTAAACTATCTGAACACAAGATATTAGAGTCCTTGTGGCATCTGGATGGAGTGATCACAAGAGCGAGATGATTTCTTTCAGTTTGTTCCCATATGCTATTCAGGTTTCCCTTTCCCACCCACCCTCTGTCTTTTACTTACAGCCAGTTAATTCATCCAATAGCTGGGAGATGTGTTCACTTTTTCACATGTCCAGTGTGTGGCTATTTCATTCCAGTGGGATCTTGTTTGTTTGCTTGTAAAGAAAAATTAGTCTGAGCACTTACCGTCACTAATACTTTTCCAGGTTGAGGATAATAGCCATTCAGTCATCTTGTTACTCATTTATGATGCCTTCCTGTTCTGTCTGTTGCATTTTGCAGCCCTGAGTTATCTCCTTCGCACTTCAAAAGTGTATTTCCTAGCACAACTCCTGAACCTCAGGTGGTGGTTGGGAGAGTAAAGGGAGAGGGTACTGTCAGGCTTAGCATTTATTTCAATCAATTGCCAGCAATTACTGGCAGGATTCAGGCCCTGGTTCTGCATTCCTTAAATGTGTATATGATCATCTTTATCTTTGTGAAGTGCCCCTTCTCAGAAGGTTGCATTTTTGTACTCACTTCACTTGCATTTGCACACTTGCAAATGCCGACCTCATGTAGCAAAGAATTGGGCCTTCAGTATCTGAAATGGGACAGACAGTATGGTTTTATGAACTCGCCTATGTCTGTGGTGATCAAAGAATGTAGTGAAAACAATGCAAGGAAAATGAAGCTCACTTTCCCCTTGCCTTCTCATCGAATTTCAGAGCCCATCCCAGCTCTCTCCACCTGGCAGCGTGATGGCTTTGACTCCGACGAAGCCCGTCTCTCCCCTCAAGCCGGCCATCTCATCCGCCAGCTTTTCGATGGGGACAGCGACCCTATGCTCTCCCCTCGCTTCTATGCTTATGGACAAAGCCAGCAGTACCTGGATGATACAGAAGTTCCTCCTTCCCCTCCAAATTCTCACTCGTTCATGAGGTGGGTTGCAGTTTCAGAGCTACCATCTGAGCAGCAGGCGAGAGGCTTTCCTCTCTGCTACCCAGTACTACTGTATTGTAGAGTGTACCTTTTGAGCAAAATAGGCCCTATAATTGCATGCATCTTGTGGGGCTGAGGTATCTCACCAATGGAAGCCATGTCACTTCTTTGGGTGGCTCTGATGGCATCTGGGGCCATAGGTTGGTACCCAGGATATAATCTTGTAATAAGGAGGCCATTGCACCTTGACAGAGAGTAAAACTTGGGATGCCCATTCAACAAAATTCTGGCCCTGGCTCTGCTGGAGATTCAGTATGTCACTTCAGAGACATTGCTTGATGTTTAAGAGCCTCTGTTTTCCCCATCTATAGCATGGGGATGACAATACCTACCTAGCTTTGTGAAAGGAATGTGAGGTCTTCCTATAAAGAGTTCAACAGCAACAATACTGAAGTAGATAAGGCACAGGTAGTGGTAGAAAGAGAATTGTGCTGTAGGGCTCTATATACTAGTAAATCTGTATTTTAAAGAGTTTGTAATTTGGCTGGAGAACTTCTTTCCAGTAGAAATGTGGTGTGAGACCTAGCTGATTGCCTTCTATGTAAACAATTCAGAACTGGAAATGAGGTACATCTGATGAAAATTCTGGCAAAAAACCAGTAAAAGAAATGTAGGGCAGTTATTTCTGGTAAATATTATTTTGCCCCATTTTTGATCTCTTATAAGGTTTATGGGTGTATTTTAAATGTTGATTTTTAAATTCATGTCTGAGTAACAGCACAGCACTGATTATGCATTTTGGCCCAGTTCTAACTCCTCTTGTATGTTGATAGGCTTATTCTAGCACTAGGGCAAAGGAATGAGCAGTTTCAACTTCTCTGGAGGTAACTATAGTACCCTGAAGGTGGGAAGGCAGAAGTGGTGTGTCATACACATTCAGATGGCTGTATTTGGCTAGCCTGATATTTGGGAAATAGTCAGACTTTGGACAATTATTGTTCTAAAACTATAAACATTCCCTTCACTCCCACCCCTCTTCAAGAAGTCTGACTTCCTCTCTCTCCCCTGGTTTAACTTTTCAGGGGTCCAGTTGCCAGCTCACTCTACTGTATCTAGACTTGGCCAGCTAATCTTCAGGTCTCATGCCTCATTTTAGGGTACAAGATGACAACCCTTCTTTCCTCTCACCCTCTTGCTTATTTTTTTTTCTGACTGGCAGTTGACTGCCCCTCCATTCTTCTGTCAAAGAGACCAGAAAGCTGTCAGAGACACCAGAACCAGTCTTACTGCCCTAACAATGTTCATAGCATTGGGTTGCGTCATGGCTTCATGATTCCCAAGGGACTTGCCATTACTTACATCGGGCATAACTGACTCTCTGCATGAAGACGTACTTCTGAGTAGGATACAACTCCATTCTCTGTTCCCCATAGGAGGCGGAGTTCTTCCTTAGGATCTTACGAAGATGACAGAGAAGACTTGACCCCTGCACAGCTCACCCGGAGGATTCAGGGACTTAAGAAAAAGATCAGGAAATTTGAGGAGAGATTTGAAGAGGAGAGGAAATACAGGGTAAGCCATTTGCAATCAGCCTGCATTGTGACCCAAGTTGAGGAGGGCTTCTGAAGATCTAGTACCTGAAAGCGAAGAAGAATGGAACTGCTGAACAACAAATTTAAAGCACACTTTCTTGTATTAGCATCGCCAAGTGAATTCCTTTCCAAGGCACAGGAAACAGTCTAATAAACTGCTGGGATTTTTATTGCTTCTTTTTCTAAACATGCCAAAAGCTGATAGCTGTGTGTGTGGGAGTGGCTAAGTTAAACTTACTGATTTAAAATTTGGCTGATAGGGTGCACAGATGCATCTTGTTTTAGTGAGTCTATGAGGAAGGACTCCTTGACTCTGGTTCTCTGCCCATGCACAAAGCACTGCTGAGTAACACCAATGTACTGAACTCTTATTTTTCATGACATTGAGTAACAACTTTTTAAGGATCTAAAAGTTCACATGCATGCACATTAGCTGCTGATGAAAACTGTAGGTTTTAGTAGTTAAAGGCTTGTCCAAAGTAGAAAAAAAATGGAATCAAATGGGAAAAAGTGCAGTCTGTTCTTGGATTGGGTCATCTAGCCACAGTAAATGGCACATGCTTCTGTGCCTTTCTTTATGCTATAATACTTACCACTTTCAGTCTTCAGAGGGCTTTAAAACATTTATTGACCCATCTGATATTCTTGTGGGCCAGGCAGTCAAAACTGTCACTCACATTTTACAGATGGGGAAAATTGAATTTTAAACGAGTTGCCCAGATGTCAGGAAGGTAGTACTAAAAGTGTGACTAGATATCAAACATTTGTAGCTCCCCCTCCTGCGTCCATCACCTCTTCAGACAGACTTTTGTCTCAATTTCTGCCCTGCCATTCTTTCAAAACCATTTCGCTGTGGATTTCTGTCCTTTTTCCTCCAGCCATCCCATAGTGACAAAGCAGCCAACCCAGAGGTATTGAAATGGACAAATGACCTTGCAAAATTCCGGAAGCAGCTTAAAGGTGAGTCGCCTACCATGGAAAAATGGCCTGCAATAGATGCTGACCTCACATGGACTGCTACACTGAGCTATTACCTTGTCACTGAAAGTGCTCTTTTCTATCCCCTACCCACCTTCCCCTCCCTCCAAACCTACCCAGAGTCAAAATTGAAGATATCTGAAGAGGATCTGGTTCCTGTGACGCGCCAACGGAGCAACACTCTCCCTAAGAGCTTTGGCTCTCAGCTTGAAAAGGAGGAGGACAAGAAACAAGACCTGTCTGACAAATCTGCAAAGCCTGCAGTTGAAGCAACCCTAGAGTCCGTTCAGAAGAAGCTCCAAGAAAAACGAGCAGAGACAAGCAGGCCCGAGGACATTAAGGTACGTTTCGGGCAGATCAGGGTTAGGTGCCAGGACTGGAAATAATGTTTCAGCAGTGCTCAGGGTTGTGATAGCTTCTGCTACCCATGCAGGATCATCCAAACTGCTAAGCTTAAAATCTACTTCTGAATTTTGTTTTAAATAACTTGACCTTTCACCTCCCACTGTAGCACACCATGCTGTAACCAATTTTTGTCAGGTATTGTGATTCTCAAAGCATTGTCCATACTGGATGTCATAGTGTCCTTTGTATCTCTGAGGTTCCAAGATCCATTCTAAAGGGATAGGTTGTGAGGCATTTTCTGTGTGTTATTTAGGTTTCCTTATCTTCTATTATGACTGGAATGCTTCAACAAATTATGTAGGTCATCCAGCACTTCTGAAGATGCCTGCAGTTTGGCTTAGACTTCTCTTCTCTGGTAGCTCATGCCAAAGTTGAATGATCTTGTCTAAGGACACATTATCACAACTCCTACCAGGGCGCCTCAACTGTCTCAGAAGAGCAGTTACATCTGAGAGTTACTGGTGTGATTCTTGTCTGGTGTAGCAAGTTCCAAAGTTGTTGATAACCTTGTAAGTCAAGGCCTTGAATTGGTAGGCGTAAAATACGCAATTATTATTTTTTTTTTTCCAAAAACAAATTTATGCAAGTTCTGGCAAATGTTTTGTGAAAAGAGGGGCAAGCAATGCTCTGTGTTCCTGAGTAGCAAATTATTGTTTATAGGAAAAAAGTTTTCAAGTTGACCATCTCTGAACCGTCTATAACAGTTCTGCAGTGGCAAGGCTGTAGGCCTTTTAAAATGTCTGTTAGACTACTGGTGTAATAATGGGAGAAGGCAATATGTGGAGTTGGAGTAAAAGGACAAGAAAAATGTCACATTGCAAGACTTATACCCCTTTAAATCAGGTAAAGCAGAAATCCTGAATGGTTATGTTGGACTATGAGTCTTCAAAACTCTATGAAAATTATTTAATTCCTTTGTTGCATACATGATACCGCTTTCACATTTAAGCATTGTTTAGTTTTCATCTCTACATGTAGCATGTAATGCGAGCTGCAGTGGTAACGGTATTTTAGTGTGCATCACCAGGAAAAGGGGCTTGGGGGAGCAGTAGTAGGTATTGTATATGTTTATTCAGAAATACCGCACCTTACTCTTTTAACTGCAGCCTTAATGTAGATAAAGCCACAGAACAATATTATACTAGCCTAGAAATGTTTTGCTTTTTTTTTGTCACTTTCTCCCATTTTTCTCCTTTGCCTTTTATATAGGACATGACTAGAGATCAGATCGCAGCTGAGAAAGTGGCTCTTCAAAAAGCACTCTTGTACTATGAAAGCATACATGGAAGACCGGTATGTATAGAAGTACATTGCAAAATGTTTTGATATATTTCTGCCTTGTGGTGATCAACCTCCCACCGCTACAAAACATTAGTAACCACCTGTTCTGGCAGGAGAAAGCACCATCATTTTCAGACCAGCCTCTGCTAAGTGCAGTGTTCAGAAACCTTTTCTGCACAGAAGCTAGTTTGGGTGTATGTCAGAACAAGCTTTTAATTAAGATTGTCTGCGATTTCCAGTGTCAGTGGCAGGCTGTTGGCAAGGGGTGATGCTGAGATCATGAAAGAAAGTAAGCTGCATTTGCTGTGTTTTTTGAAGCTGTTGTAATAGTCTCTAGAACTTTAAGTGTTTAAACATCACACACAGATTCTTTCCTATGTTTAGAATTTGATCACAGTATGTAAGGTCTCAACTCTTAGCCTTTGGCTACTTTAAGTTATATGTTGCTTCTCCTGCTGTATTGACTTTATGAACTTTGGTGGCAGATGGATGTGCAAAGCAGCTTAATTTTGGAGTGACAGTAATGCATATAGCAGCAGTAGGGGAGTAGCAAATTACTGTTTCTCAGGAGCACTGTGTCAGGGGAGTCGGTGAATCTGCTGTACCCATTCACTCCCTGGCTTGTCACATTTGAAATATTTGGTTTATGGTTTTACTGATTATTTAATTCCTTTATTTCACTGCTGTCAATACCACTGCCCAGGTAAAACATGATCATTATAGCTTGGACTCTGCCATTGTGCTCCTTATACTTGGTACCTTACAGCTTTATTGTCTTATAAAACTCACGTTAAAACCACTCTGGAGGAGTGATTCCCTTTTCTATCTGTTCTTACAGGGACTGATTCTGCTTTCATCATGTCACAAATGAAGGGTAACTCCCCATTTGGATTTGATGAATTTATGAACGTTTAATCCTGGTTTCAGATCACGATCTGGCCTGTAATACGATGCTGAGATTTTGTTTTCTTTCTGTTCGTTTATTAATATGACTGCTTTTTAATTTTTTAATAAGCTGCTTCTACAACACAGCAGAATTGAACCGATAAGCAAAGCAAGCTGCAACTAATCAGTTTTGCTGTTTCCAGTTACTGACAGTGCTGCAGTGGAAAAGTACCGAGAGTTCTTGGATAATGTGGATAGTTCAGCCAAGTTTTTAAAGACATTTAACTAAACAATAAAACCAGTGAAGCTTAGGTTTATTGTGCAACTGGGTCTTTCTGCACCAGTGACGGGTGAACCTGGCAAGAGGTAGGAACTGAACTGCTTTATTTAAGCCAGAAAGTCTTGTTTCTACAGAAATCCTCGAGACAGTTGAACAATGCAAGCAGCGGCCTCTGCTTCACTAGCTGCTGTTTGCCATATGGAATGTTTGCCCAAGGCATTGTCAAAGGCTCCGTTATGCAAGGTTTTTTTTGTGTTTTGACATTCTTCCAAAATATACTTGGGTTTTGTTGGCATTATTGATATTTACTCAGTGAGAGAGTCTGTCCATGTGCACGGTTTTTCTTTAAGTCCTGCTTTAATGAATGAAGTGGCACTTATGTAAATCCATGATAATATATTTGGCCTAGTATGTGTACTAAGATTCTTAAATTATACCCGTGTGTCTTTCCACTTCTGGTGTGATCCAGACTTGGTAGCAAGGTGCACATTTTTCCATTCCTCAGCACACCTAGTGATTCTTTTCTCCCAGTCCAAACCTTGTATTTATATTTCTTTTTGCAAAACTTGGATGTTTTATCCTCTTTGAAGTGGCATTAACTGAAGGTTCAGTTCTCAGCCTTAGCAGGCACCTTTTCATATTGTTTCTAACCCTTCAGGACTGATTAGTCCAACTGCAAAGTAATACTAGGGCATTCTCTTCATAATTAGGAAGGCTCCAAGCCTGACTCATCACTGCCTTTCTGTGGTCATGTACCCTTTTAACTCCATTGAAATCAACTAGTTGCACACAATAGTTCAACATTTGTAAGGCAACTCTGACTGCATCAGCTAATGAATGTAATTATGTCAACTAAGACAGTGGTGAAATCTGTTCTTTTGAGTGCAGTGAATGGGTGGCTTATCCTTGGGGTTTTCCCATGCTGGTTACATGCTTCTCTAGAAAAATGTAATTGCCATGTCTTCATGTTGATGGAATGAGATTGTTCAGCGGTTTGACAGATACATTAAATAGAAAAGACAACCCAACAAAGATTGCTGGATAGATAGGTGGAGCCAAGTTCCTATGCAGAAACCTTGATTGTAAATAGATCTTTTAACCCTCAACTTCTTCCTTCAAAATGGGCTGTTGTAGAGATGAGCCCAGGCAAAATATTGTACCTCTACAACCCTCACAGTTTGTGGAAGTTTGCCTCTAAATTTAAACAATGCAGCATGGGCCTTTGCTGATGGGGTTTTTTTTAAGAGTAGTCTTGTGAAGGTGTAGGTTAGAGAGTAACAAGAGAAGGTTTTCCTCCCTTGCATTCCTTTTACCCCTAATTGATGTGGGAAAGAGAGAGGGTAATCACGGGAGATGGAAGTTAGCCCCAATTCCAAGAGCTCATCTGTGGCTTCCAGGCATCATGAAGTACCCAATGTCATGGTTGTAGTGGTAGAGCAGCTAAGGCATCATGCTGTGAATTTGGGGGCATGAGTTTGAGCCCTACTCTGGGTTTCCATCAGAGACCACCCCAATTGACCCAGCTGTAAGTGGGTATCTGGTCAGGCAGGCTGGGAAATTACAAGGTGGCTAGATTTGATGCTGACCCATCAGTGCCTTGTGTGCCATTGGCTGTAGAAATTGGGATGCATTAACCACATCAATCCTGTATTCCACTGAGCTCAGAAGGACCTTGGACCTTTCTGACAATGCTAAGATGCTTCCACATGCACTTCTGCCTAGAGCACCATCCCAAAGTGAATTAGCCTAAAACACAATAAACTGGTGAAATTTAAAAAAAAAATGAAAAGTGTATACATCTAACCACAGACTGCCTTTTCCCCCAAAAAGGAACAAAAGGTAGAAATTTCTTATCATCCCTCAGGGACTACACCATCACTATCGTTCTTGCATGAAAGGGCTTAGATGTTGTGGTTACTGGCATCAGTGGAAAGCCTTGAGGTAGACAGGAATGACCTTAGAATCAGTCAAAACTTCCTTTCCTAAGAGCTTTGTGGTCCAAAATTAGGCCAAAGATATAATGGAAGGCCAGACGCATTATGTGACTAAAACAAGGGTGAACAGAAAAGAAGATTAGCAATTTGGTTGTGTAGAATATTCTGCTTACTGTTTTTCTGCCTGACTAATGAGGAATTTAAGACATAAAACCATTCCCAAGCCCTTTGCATGCATCTACTGTAAATGTAAAGCTTCCCTTCTCCTGCATTCCCTGCAATCACTAGGAAAGACAGGGTCTTTAGAGCTTTCTTGTGAAAGAAGAGGTGGAGAGTTAAGCAATTCTACACACATAACTGGAAGGCAATTTAAAGAAGTAAGCACAGCAGCAGAGAGGGTTGCACAATCATTGCATTGTCATCTGACAAGGTCTGCAGGTGATCATGCCTGGGGTCGCTTCCAAAGGCAGTCCACAAGACTCCTTTCACTTGTTGCTATATCACCCTCCAGGATCCCAGCATGAGGGCAGGAAGCTCAGTGTGTTTGCCCATGAGTGCAGATGTGATTGCCATTGCATGGGTGGGGTTGGAATGAGGATAGATGATTGCAAGGCCTGTTGTGAATGTCCAAAGCCCCGTTTGTCCACATGACAGAAATTGCTCAGAGGTAGCAGTCAGTGCTTAGGCTTAAGCTGAGGATTGCAAGAGCAGTTCTGGGACAGCACACCAGCCAGGTCAGTGTGACAACGTTAATCCCTATACAACTTTCAGTACCGTTTGACAGCCCATGGCACTCACAGAGGCTAATTTCAGCCCATCTAGTCAGTGGTGGTTGTGTTACATGAACACATGTTACCAGCTGCCAGTCTCACGGAGCGTGTTTTGTTTGGCTTTTCCAGGTAACAAAAAATGAACGTCAGGTGATGAAGCCATTGTACGACAGGTACCGCTTGGTCAAGCAGATCCTGTCCAGGGCCAACACCATCCCTATTATTGTGAGTACGGCACTTCTCTAGGGTGGATTGCTGTTTAGCAAGGGGGGAAGGGAGAAAGGAGGCATGCAGATCACACTTCAACACACCACACAGTTGCAGGGGCCCAACCCCAACCTCCTTCCTCACTGAAAATTAACAAGCACATGTCGTTCATTGATTTTAAAGCAGCTGGAATAGTGAAGACCTGGTTGAAGACTCCAGTGCCTGCAGCTGGCTTTTGGGCACTTTTTGCCTGCTGCTGTTCCTCCTCTTTCCAGTGGGTTGCTGCTATTATTTTTGGCCAATCACCGTTTTTTTTTTTTTTCCTTTCTCTTTCTCCTAACCCCTTAGGCTCCTCAGTGCTGGCCTTTTACATTGGAGACCATGGCAGGAATATAGACTTGTGTCTTACCCACACTCTGGCGGGGCTGAAAAACAGCAGCAGTCAGGCTGCCCAGTTTAATCCTTGGTCAAAGGGAAGAGGGGCCAGGCACTCAGCTCCTTCCAAGTGAGAGCTCTCAGCACTCGGCTCCTTCCAAGTGAGAGCCCACAAATGGCCAGTGCTTTAACAGTGGGTACAGTTCAGGGGTGGGGCTGCCACTTACACAGAGTCTACCACACCCCTCCTGAGGTTGAAAATCACCAGCTCTGCTTATAGGATTTTAGCTCCAGTGCCTCAAAGTTGAAGCTGCTATTGTCTGACTCCTGCTGCTTCCTTTGTCACTTGCCCTAAAATGATTGTTCTAAAACACTCTCAGACATGGAATAGTTTAATTGGCTCCATGATAGAGAGCTGTTTTATATTGTGTGCTGCCTTTCGTGAATGAGCCTTTGCTGCTTTGTTGCTGCCGGGCCATGCTTGCATCTTGGCAGCTGGTTTAACGGAGTGCCTGTTTAAAGGAATGGATTGGCACAGTGGCACTCGGTGCAGTCGGATACGCTGGCAGGCATGTTTTTCTGGATGCAATTGATACATTTGCTGCATTAAAACAAAAAAAAACCCCAAAAAAACAAAAACCTGCCCAGAGCCCAAACTTTGAATAGCTCACAATGTATAGCCCCATGTGGCCAGGAAGCAGCCATGCATCCTAGTAACTGCAACTGGGCCAGATTCTCAAAGGAGTGCCGAGCCCTTTTTGAGTCACTGAAATGAAATAATTTTGTCTTTCAAAAGTTTTCAGTGCCCAGCACCTGCCTGAGAAGAATGGAGAATGTCTTTCCTCATCCTTCTCTCTCATAAGAACAGTGAAAGGGGAGGTTACCTTTGAAAATCAGACATGCATAAATTGAAATGCCCACGTGGGAAAAATCTGGCCCCATATGGGAATGCTGAGTACTTCTGAAAGTCTGACTGGACTGTTTCACTGGGTTTGCATCAGAGCCATAAAGAGCCACACAGTCTCTTAAGTTACATACAGGGGCTTGGGGGGTTGCTTTTACATCATTGTTTCCTTAAAGACGTTGTTTTCCTGGTCATGCACAGCTGGCACTCCTGTGTTATATGCATTTTGTTCACACACTTGGCACTGGTGTCCTTAGCTTAGTAGCAACTTGGGGAAAGAAAAAAATAAAACATTCTATGCTACAAGGGTTTTTTGCCTGGAGTTTTTTTCTTTAAGAAGCAGTTTTCTAATGCTGGCCTGGAAATGTGTTAAGAGCATGATGGAGATGAGATGAGAGCAAGAGAACAGGTGGTGGGGGAAAAAGGGGTTCATCATATAACATACTTGTTAACGCCTATCACAGGGTTCCCCTTCCAGCAAGCGGAGAAGCCCTTCACTGCAGCCAATTATCGAGGGTGAAACAGCATCCTTCTTCAAGGAGATAAAGGTGAAGACCTCCAGCTGCTAACTAATTGCTCAGTCTGCATCAGTTTCCCCCTCCTAGCACTGAAAGACTTTTTTTCATCAGTGTTGATTCTTTGCAGTGTCTTCCAGAAAAATCAGTAGCTGCTTTATGCCTCGCCAGTTTTGAACAAATTTCTCCTTTTTGTTGTCTTGCATCAGCCTACAGTATTTTCTTGGCTTTGTGTCTTTTTCCTTCTGCGCACATATTTTGCTTTGCAAAAATTCTCACAATTATTCTCAATTGCACTTTTGCTTCCTCTTCCTGTTTTATAATCCTAACAAGTTGTACTCGTTTCTCTTGCTCCAAGGCTCTGCAATCTGCTCACAGCATCATGACTGAGTTGGGCTGTAACACCGACACTTTCTCCCTCTCCCCCTCTATGAATGAACATGGGTCAGACCTATACACGTGTTCATGTCCCAACCTATGTCCGGTTCTGGCTTCACACCTTTTAAAATGCAGTTTTATAGAGATCAGCTTTAAAAGCAGAGTAAGAACAGTTCAGTTCTGTTGGCCAATATCTGACCTGGTTTGAATGGTGACTTTTTTTTCACACCATGTGCTGCTGTGGATTGGTATTTCTCAGTGCTGACCATTGATGCAAAAAGCATTGGGCCAAATTCATTATTGGTTTAATTGCATGTGACTTAAATCATCAAAGCACCAGGTATGAATTTGGTCCATATTTCTTTACCAGTGAAGGCCCAAGTGCCAGCACCCTTGGGCTTATTCAGTAACTCAGTTACTTGCATAATGTGAATGAAGGAAACGTGTTGCTGTGACATTCTGGTCTTAATTCCACCCTCAGCCTACCTACTTGTTTACTAGGCAGTGTTGATCAATATTGAAAACACCATTGGCCAAGTGTCCCAGGTGAATGAATCTTTTAATAAGATAATTGTTGCAGCTTAAATATTAGTTGACTATATGAGGTTCATGTTGATTAAGGAGCAAATGCAGTGAAATGCATGGGAAATATTTGTTTCTCCATCAGTGAATTGCTCTTAATAGTCACTGGATGATTGCTGAACTGTCTGCATTTAGAGACTCTTTTTTCAAATGCTCATTCATTTAAATGTATTTGGAGCACTGGGACACCAAGTCAGTTCAGTTACAGGGAACCAGTGACTGTAGTAACTGCCTCTAAGCATGCTCTTATTCCATGGGAAATACAAGCTTGCCTATCCCATTTCTGTTTGAGGGCAAGAGTCTGTACATGGGCAGTTACCGCAAAGTACCTCACATGGTTTAAATTCACACCCTAGCTCACTGTGCAGTAGCTTTTTTATGCATTCATCCCCTGAGTATTGTATCATGCAGGGAGCATTAGACATCTGTGTTCCTGAGAGCCGTTCTGGCTTCCAGCAGGCTTTTGGGTTGAGTAAAGGGTTGGTTTCAATCATAAATGGGTCAGGACCCTGCTAATCAAAATGCCACCCCCCCCTCCCCCCAACAAACTGCTCAAGAGAGGGATTTTAAATTTATTATTTAAATAAGAGGGAAGTCCAGTAGGGCATTCACCAGCAGGGTTCCTTGACTGAAATACACTTCCCTCCCTGTTCTACCAAAGGGAGGCTTAGGTATTCCACAGAGCCCATTTGTTCTTGCAAGCACTTAGGGAGGTCAGGGGTTGGAAATTGAAGGGGAGGGACTAGCTTATGATAACCTTAGGTAGAGCATCTTTAATAAACCATCCCACAAAAACACATACCAGAGAATTTATTTACTGGGAAGAATGATGCACTAGAACAGTGGCTCTCAATCAGGGGACCATGGCACCCAGAGATGCAGCAAGATCCTTTTAAGAGCACCGTGCAATATTGGTACTGTTAGTTGTGTAAACTTCTACATGTGATTCACAAGGTAAACCCAGAAATTTCAGAGAGGTATCCATAGTGTCAAAACCATTCTGCCCAGTTGTCTTTCTGAGTGCTTTGCCACAGAAAGAATCATTTTTCTGTAGTCAAAAACAAGAGAGAACTAAGCTTTTTCAAAATGGAACTAAGGAACTAAGCTGTTCCTTAGTTTTCCATTTTGAAACAGGGATGCTGATACACAAGACATGCCGGGCACTTTAATTAGATAATTAATTTTTTCAAGGGGTGCCTTCGGTCTAAAAAGGTTGAGAACTACTGAAATGTTGTGTCTGTTGTTTCATGTGTTGCGACACAGAGTTGCCAATGGCACCAAGTAAGAGGCAGCAGAACAGAGCGGAGCAGAAATCCAAATGGATTGCAGGTGCAGGTGGAAATGTGGTCTCTGTACAGTAGGCAGAGTAAGGGAATTGATTATGACCACAAGTGTAGAGGTCTGACCTTAACCCGTTTCAGAATATAACTTGAAAGGTCTGTATTGGGTATTAGCATTTGAATTTTTACTGGAGGACTTTTTGAGATACTCCCTTCAGTTCAAGGTGTGGAGGTCTTTTTGCAGATGACCTCATGACCATAATTTGTAGTGGTGGGCAAGAATGGCCTAAGTAAGTGTAAATCTGGGGTGTCAACGATGCAGCCTGCAGGCTGGATCCAGCCCTTAGAGTCCCACCCTCCAGTTCCCGGTGCTTACCCTGGGTCTGTATTTGATCCATGCACTGTACATGGTGTGTGCTAGGCTGGCCCCATATACAAGATTCAGGATCCCCCATATACAAGCTTCAGGACCCAAGCCACACACAGCACCCACTCCAGCTGGTCCAGGAACTGCAGTGCACACAGCACAGGTCCTAGACCAACTGCAGCAGGCACCACATGCAGCATGTGTCCTGGACTGACCAGAGCAGGCGCTGTGTATTTTGGATCTTGGATGCAGAGCAGGAGGGGTCTGTGTGCTGCTCTGGCCCCCAGAGCCAGCCCCACACCATTCATCCAGCCCATGGAGTGACCCTGCACCACTCATCAAATGAGTTTGCCATCCCTGGTATAAATGCTACATTATGCCTGATCTTTTTATTTCCTTACCTCCCACTGACAAAAGTTCACTGGCTTGTTTTTGCACTGCAATGATCTCTGGCTGCATGTGCAGTGCCCTTTAAATTGGAACAAATCACTGTGATAATCTTGATTATTGTGTCCTCTTCACACTTACCTGTGGGCAGAAGGGCAGAGCCACCAATTTGAAATGTACAAGCTATTTGGAAATGTTTCCTCCAATTTTGTGAATAATTTGTTACAACAGTTCATGAAGATTCTGCACTCCGTTCTTCTGGAAAACAAATGCCTAAACTCTTTGTTTTCTCTATTGGTTAAGCAGAGTAGTCAGTGCTCCCAGCCAGTCAAGCATGAGCTGTTGTCCCCTTCTTAATTCATAATTGCCATTATTGCAGTATACTGTACATCTGTAAAATGGATCCTAATGGCTGAATTAGCTAGCGAGGAGTAAGAGCAGAACACAATTGAAACATCTGCTTCTCTTACTTGAAAACTTTAAGTTTTATGTCATTTGCCTTTTATAAGCTACTTCCAGAAACGCTTTAAAATCTAATCCTTCATTAAAGGCCA